CACTGGTGCAGTTCGCATGTCTCCCCCACCCAGCGCAGCGTTTCGCGGTCCCATAGGGGGCTCCACCAAAGGCCCCAACGGCGCAGTTCGCACGTGGTCCAAGTGGCACGCACGCACAAACGCACACACACACACACACACACGCACGCACGCACGCACGCACGCACGCACACACACACACACACACGGGCGCGCACACACACACACACACTGCGCCTCGTGGCCTCATCGGGAGCTCCACCGAAGGCCCCAATGGAAAAGTTCGCACGCGCCCGTTCCGCCCCGCCCAGCACAGCGCTTCATGACCCATAGGCAGATCCGCGTAAGACGATACTCACAATTGCGGCCCCCGCAACTGCACGCGGTTGGGCTCGCCCGGCAAATGTCCAACCGATGCCGTGCTTCCGCAACAAAAAAATAGTACGCAATCCGCGCGCGCTCTCGGGCCGCGCGCGGCAGCGCTGCCGGCGGCGCGCACGCCGCGCCCCCGAGCCCGCGCCGCCCGCCAGGCCCGCACAGCCACTCAACGACTGTTGGCGGTGCCTTGGTAACTCTGGTCTTCGCCTCCGCGAACGGGTGGTCAGCTAAGTAGGAATTGGGCTCCTGCTTCGCCCTGCGCCCCAACAGCTTCGCCAACCATTACTCGTGGTGGGATGCCGCTCTCCCCTTTTTCCGGCTCAACTCCCTCTCGCTGCATGTGGCGGTATCTGTGGAACTCGTTGCGCTATAGCGAATGACGTGGGCTTTCCTTTTCGCGTCCGTCTCCCGCCGCAGCTGCTCGCGCGCGGCCCTCCCAGCGGTGAAATTGATGGCGCTGGGCCCCCTCGAGTCGCCTCCCGCCAGCCGCGTCTGTCCGATCACTGCGCGTGCCCTCCACGTGGCCCCGCGAGCGCCTGCGCCGCTGTAGTTGGTTGCATTGGACTCATTTTCCACCTCCACGGGGAATTGGTGTCTAAGCTAAATCGGGCTTGGGTTCCAGATTCGCCCGTCGTTGCTAACTGTCGACGCTGCCAGAGCCCGCCATTCCCGCATGCGCACGGGCCGCCCCCCTGAGGCTGCCGCTGCTCGCCCCCCTAGCGCGTGCCGTCGCAGCGTCCGCCCCTTCCGATTAGGTCGCCCTCGCCCCTGGCGGCCCCGCCCGCCCTTCTCGCGCGCCCCGGCGCCGTAGCAGATGACGCTCGGCTTGTCCTCCTCCTGCCGCGCGACCTCCTCGCAAGCCATGCTGGCGCTGACCCCCGCGTTGCAGTTGGCCCCGCTGGGCTCTCGCTCCGCCTCCGCCCGCGCATTCTCGCAGCCCCCGCTGGCGCAGACGTCGGCGCCTCGCCCGAAGCTGCCCCCTCGCAGCTCGGAGCTCCCATAGCTTCCACGGCGTGGCCCCGCGCGCTGGGCTCTGCAGCGTAGCCGGCGTCGTTGGCCTCTATCTTCGCCGCCGTCGACCCCGCCATCGCGCGTGTCGCGTCCGCGCCGTCGCCCACGATGTAGCTGGTGGCTTCGGCCCCCCTGGATCCGTGGGAAGAGGCTCCCAGTTAGAAGCTACAATGTAGTTGGGTTTCAGCTTCGCCGCTGCTGTCGCGGCTTCTCGCGCCGCTCGTTCCAACCAGGCGCGGCGTTGTAGCACGCGGATGCAAGCTTTTCGCGTCGCTCGCTGCCCCGCCTCCCCGCGCGCAGCCTTCTCGCAAGACGCGCTGGCACTGACTCCCTTGTGGCAGCTGGCTTTGTTGGGTTCTCGCTCCGCCTCCGCCGCCGCCGTCGCGCGGCCACCGCCCGCGCAGAAGTCCGCGCCGCATGTCGTGGCGCGTGACTCTCGCTTCGCCCCTCCTGCAAAACCAATCTCGCAATGCGCGCGCTGGCCCCCGCGCGGTAGATCCCCACGCTGCAGCTGACGTCGCTCGGTTTTGTCTTCGCCTCCATCGACGCTGCCCTCGCGCATGTGTTGTGTGTGCCTACTCCCGCGCTGTACCTGGTGGCGTCGCGCTGTCAATTCGCTTTCCCCGATGCGTCGTCGTTCCCCGCGCTGTGACCGATGGCGCCGGGCTGCGTCTTCAACGACCCCGATGCATCGCCCGCGCGTTTTGAGGAAAAAAAACCTTCGGAATCCAGTCGCGCCTCCTGCCGTCGCTGCCCCCCTTTCTCACGCAGGTTGGTCTCGCTCAGCTGCCGCTGCAATCCCTCGTCGCCCGCGGGCCCCCGAAACCGCAGCTCGATGTGCGGGAATAGGTCTGAACAGCCAGCCTGGATCCAATTTCGCCTGCTGGCCCGCAGCCACGCGCAACCGCCGCCACAAACGCCTCTGGCTTTTGCTCGGGCGCCACTCCAAGACCGGGGGCGCGCGCGTGAGCTCAGCCATGGGCGCCTTCGGTAAGCTGTCGCAAGCGCCGCCCTCCCCTGCAGCCTGGGGGCGCCAGGTGCCCAAATCCAAATGGCTACACGAAATTCGCCACGGCCTGAACCCACCCAGGGGGGAAAAGGATAGCTTGCCTTAACATGAACGCATCTGCCAAAATGTACAACAGGGAGGACGGCGCCTCCTCCCTGATGACTGACCAGCGCCAAAGTCACACGCTGGCCGAAGAAAAATACTGGGGAGCAAACAGGGTCCGCAACACCCAGAGCAGAGCGCCGGTAGACGTCGCGGGGTGCCGAGGGGGGCTCACGCCAAAGTGGGGAAATGAACAGAGACGGCAAGCGGCGGAAAGAGAAAATGGCTGACTGTCCGTCGGAGCCGCGGAAAACACAATTGCCTGCGGCTCCACCCGACTCGCGGGCGCACGCGCACTGGGGTGGCACCCAAAGCCTATTTCACCCTCGGCCACTTACGCCGCCCAATAGCGCCAGGAGTCGGGGGGCACAACGACAAAAAGTCCTGTCTGATACGACATACAGCAAAACCCCAAGAGACCAAAGGACAGGGACAGAGGCCAAGCCTGTATCGTTCCCCCCTGGCCACAAGCTACAGAAAACACAGTCAACAGGCTGGGCAATGCTGCGCTGGATACAACGCCAAGGGTAACAAGAGAAACTCCGAGCATGGAAGGCAAACGAATCTGAACGATATGAACCAGAATCATCGCCGCCGTTCACAACAGCACTGGACCCTGCCGCTTCCAAAGAAATTTGGGGAGGCCCTGACCACCCTGAAATCTTGTGCGTTTTCACGGGGACCACGGCGAATAGTCGGTTCCTGAGCTGATTCAAAATCGCAATCAGAAAATGGGAGGAATAGAGGGCCCATGGCCCCTTTAGAGTTACTAATGCTCTCTTCGGACGTTTGCAAGCCAGCGCGTGGAGCCGGCTATGACCGACAGTTTTGTCTTCAGGTCCCTTATCCCGAAATAGGAAAGTACTGAGGACAATAATAACCCCCGGATGCGTCAACGATGCTGAAATGTACCCTGCCGCCCCAGGGCCCCTCCTCGCTTCTAACCACAAGGAACACTACTTTTAACGTACGAGAAACCCCATGGGTTTGCAATTCAGCAGGGAATCCTTTCGATCAAATAACCGAACGTGCACTCTTCTGGCGAATTCGAAGGAATGCGAAACGGTAGGACCAGACGTATCAAAATGCGTCCAAAGCGGGATTCGTTTTGCCTCTGCCACCCCATCCGTGCAGTTGTTGGAGACATGTGAATCGAGACCCCCCGGTTCGAAACAAATACCGCACTACTTCCGTGCAGCTGTTACATCGGATCAATATTCTAGGCGTGCGCGTGCTATGCGGAAATATCTGAATCGAGACAAACTTAATCAAAAGAAATCGTCCTCCCTCCCCATAACGCTTGCAAACGTCTCTAACAGAAACGTGCGCGGCTCGCTTGGAGGGTCAAATCTATCTGGGAACGTGTTCCGGTGGAGAAATGCAACGAATGCACACGCCGCATTCATGCGCATTTGCCGGTTTCAAGGTGACAGCGCGGACGGGCTTGTCTACGGCACCGCGGGGGCAGAACGAAGGCGAAATGCGGTGCACTGCGCGCGCGATCCTACAAACATGTCGGCAAAAGCAATGAGGCACGGCGCCCCCCGTGAAGCGGCTCTGAAAAGACGGGGCGGGCCCTAACAGCGCAGGCCGGAAAACCGCCCTCGAAATATCTACCAATGAGGCGCGAAACCGGCCCCGGCCGATTGGTGTATTTATGTTGGTCAAATGTTGCAGGAAAAACGCACAGGCAAACTATGCACCAATCGAAAACCCATCGAACCATATCCGCCAATCCTAAAAAACGCTGGAATCGGCAGAGATGTTCGCCTGGAGGAGGGGGGGTCAGGACCGCGGGCACCAACGCTGATATCAATGGGGAAAACAACTGGCGAGAATCGGAGAAGAGGGGGGGGCGACGACAGCGTCGCAAAAACACTCTGCACCGGCGTCTTGGTCATGGAACATCGTGCCACACCGCACACCTGGGCAGCAACTCGACGCCCCCTGTAAGTTACCGAAACTCACAATTATCAGCCGAATGCATCACCTGATATATTGCGTGCTCCGATCTCAAGCTGGAGCCCAATATTGAAAACCAAGCGCCTTCGTTCTTGCAACTGTTACAAACCGAGGAAACGAATGTGCGCGGAGCGACTGCGAGAGCCAAGCTTGACCCCCCACCCTCCATCCGAGTGACTGTTCCAATATTAGATGACGCATGCACGCGGCGTCACGGCGAGACCCCATTTTCAAAACAACACCGCTCAAATAGTGGAACTGCTGCGAATTTCGAGCTTCAAGATCATGTGGATGTGGACGTCTCAGTCCAAACGCCAGACCCGCCCTATCGACACGTCTTGGGGTGCGGCATAGAGAGGTTATATGTTGCGTTGCTCTACCAACGTTTATCTCTGGATAATCTGGAGAAAGAGGAGGTAAGCTGAGGGGAAACAACGCAAGCGTCGGATGGCCGTCCACCAACACAAAGGAGACAACTACGAGGAGAATGGACGGATGAGTATGGAGGAGGAGGAAGGGAGGAGGAAGATAGGAGGAGGAGAAAAGGAGATGGCACTTCCTGGTATTCCCACCGCAGGTTGGCGGAGTCGCCGCCGGGGGGCACCTCGTTGTAGAGGCAGCCGAACCCCAGGGGGAAGAGAAGCTCCCCTCGCGGGGTCGGGAGGAGGGCGGGGAACGGGAAGAGGAGGCAGGACGGCAAGGCATCGCGGGCGGGGGCGATTGCAGTCCACGCGTGGCCACATGAGCGTGGATCGAGAACACGAGCCCCACTCGCCGAAGGACCGGGGCTTCGTGGAGGCCACAACGAGCAGCACTCCGCGACGACGACATCCCCAGACTCGATGAGCGTCAGGATACCCCACTGCAAAGTCAGGGTCACTATTTTTCCTCCTCCTCCTCATCATCATCAGCCTCGGCCTCCTCCTCCTCCTTTTCCCCTTTCGCTTCCTCTTCTCCTCCCTCTCCTCCTCCTCCTCCTCCTCCTCCTCCTCCTCCTCCTCCTCCTATTCTTACATGCGGCCTCGCGGCCAGGACTCTCTGGGCGGCGATCCCGCGGATGCAGGGCGGCGGTGGAAAGATGTTCTGAGGGGGCCGCCCTTCTCCCTCCTTCTCCGCACCGAGTCTAGGTGTCTGCCGCCTGCGTTTGCATACAACTCGCCCCTGTGAACGCCTGAGAGCGCCGCGGAGCACCCGGGAGCGCTTGGGAGCGCCTGAGAAGCGCCATGGACCGCTGTCAGCCTCTGGGAAGCGCTTGGAAGCGCTTGGGAGCGCTTGGGAAGCGCCACGCGAGCAGCGCACCTGCTTATGACTTCGGACGCGGTGCGCGTGCGCCTCCGGCGCGGCTCAAAGGTGTGGGCCCATGGGCACGGCTCCCACAAACGGTCTCGGCGGCCTTGCTGCCCACAAGCCGCGGGCCCCCACGAGGGGAGGGCGGGGAGGAGGCCAGGGTAAGGGTCCGGGGGGCTTCCGAGCCTTCTGAGAAGGCCCGCCCCTTCCTCACTTCCCCCTCCCTCGCTCGCCGCCGACTGAGCCCACATCACCCCGCTGACGTTGCCCCTGGCTGTGCCCCTGGCTGTGCCCTGGCTGTGCCCTGGCGAACAAAACTTGCCGATGCAGGGCCTCTCTCGCCGAGGCCCACCGTGGGGCGCGGCCTTCTGCGACGCCGCACCCTGGACGGCGCAGGCAGGCCTCGAGGAACCAAGGCCCTCCGGCATGGCTTTCGCCCGTGACGCGATGCAGACCCTCGGGCGCGTGGAGGCAGCGGGGCCCCCGATGGGCCCCAGTCGTGCACCGTGTCTGGGGGCGGGACCTGGATCGAGAGCTCCGCGCGACGCAGCATGCTCGAAAGGTCTGGCGGGCGCTTCTAAAATCCATGCCCCTGGGTCTCCTGGGTGAGCATTCCATAAGACTGGGGGGCGATACAAGAGCAATGACAAGAAGCGGGTCTTGCGCACGATGACGTCGCGATCTTATGCGGTGGCTTGCGCGGGCCGCCAGCGCGATCCGCTATATTGAAAACGAGGGCGCTCACGCGCGACCTTACGGGGGCAACCTACAGGCGAATGTTCGCGCAATCGGACCAGTGCTTCTGCGTCGTTCACGTGGGGAGGGATCGGGGGCTGAAGAAAAGGGAGGGGCCCCGAAGAGGCCCTGGCGCCCCAGAAAAAGGAGAGGCCCTGGGGCCCCGACGAGGCCCTGGGGTCCCGAAGAGGTCCTGGGGCCCCGAAGTGGCCACGGGTATCTTTCTTCACCCCTGATTGCTGCCCCCCCCATTTACGAAGCGCCCGACTCTCCAAGACTCGGGAGGCCTTTGGGAAACTCCGAATACTTTTCGGCGGGAAGGGGGGCGAGACGAGGAGGAGAGGAGAGGAGGGCGACGACAGAAAGCAGAAGATGAGGCGGACGAAGAGCAAGCTTTGCAGGCCCTTGCAAGGCAGCCAAAGGTAAAAAGTGCATCTGAGAACTTCCGTACTCAATGCTCGATCCTAGTCCCCCCTCCTCTTCCTCTGGTTTCGCCCTCCTCTCAATTAACTCCTCGTGGTCGCACCCCGAGGCTTGTCGGGAAGGCAGGCTGGGAGTTTCGCCAGAGACTTCCTCACAATGTATGATCCGTAAGCTGAGAATGTGCAGCGATTTCGCTGATGGGGGGCGGATCGTTTTCAAAATGTGACTATCGCTCAAGTGCCGCGCACATTCATCTTGAGAGCTTATGGCGGTTTCAACAGTCTTGCGGTAAACGTACCAAGAGCGTTGTTTTTGCACGATGCAGGACTGTCCAACAGTTGCATTGGTTCGCGGTGCTGAGGTTCCAAGAATAGGGTCCTGACGCGACTAAGGATCGACAAGATGCAACGGTAACGTTGATCCGCGGCGTTGAAGTCTCGATGTTGGCTCGGGATGTTCAACACGATTGTCTCCCAACGGGACACTCCCATCAGTGAAAATAAATGCTTTCATGGGGCCTACGAACAGGGAACTTGGAGGGAAGGTTGTTGTTGCAACATCCTGAATGCATATTGGGTTAACACTGGGTCAAACCTCCTCTTCCTCCTCCGAACTCTTCTGTCTTACCCTTCCAATTTGGGGAAACCCAAAAGGTACCCATACCGCTATTCCCTGGACCTCTCCCGGGCCGCGTTCTGACCAGGATCTCGAGGCGAATCCAGCGGAGGCGACAAGGACCTCCCACCAGGCCGAACGGGATGAAGAGGGGCGAAGGGCAGCGGCATAGGTGCACCTCCTATACCCCTCACGCCGCGAGTGGCCCAAGGGGCGCGGTCTGACAGAGACGCAGCCAGCCAAGGCGCGCCTCTCCCGGGGCCCCTGTCGAAGAGCCACGGCTCCAGCCAGTGGCCCGCGACGCTGCCCGCCTCCACGGGCACGCAGTAGCACCGCTCGACAACCTTGCGGGGAAAGTGGGAGCGGGCAGATATGAGGTCGAGGCAGTTTTTGTCGGGCGGGTGGTGCTGGGGGTGACCTGAAATGGGGGTGACGAGAAGGACCCTGAATGGGCCCATTTGGGCCCCTGACAGACCTCCAGAGGCCTTCCTGAGCGGTAGGGGCTTAGAGGGGCGAGGGATACCTCCAGGAGGCTTCCGAAACCTTCAGGTACCTGCAGAGGTGCCGAGGGAACGTTTGAAAGGAATTGGGGAGGAGCGCACATACTCGGAGGGGGGGAGGGAGGGACAGATTGGGTGTGGGCTGGGCGTGACTGCGTGGCTGTTTGGGAAGTGGCGTTGTTACTGGGGTTGCTGAGCTGGAGAGGCGTTGACCGAACGGTCTTCGCGAGACATGGCGGCAATCAACCCAACCCAATCCATACTACATGCGTATGTATGCACAAATGGATGCACCTTTAAACACATCATGGACATACTTATGTATATATATATATAGATGTATATAGAAATAACTCCCAGAACGCACCGTGACACACCTCTTCCTCCTGGGTGGGCACAAGACAAACGGGGCGTTCAAGGTGCGTGCGGCCAACGTGGAGGCGGAGGTTTCGAAGAGGTCGGGGGTGGTGTTGAAGATATGCTGTAACATATGTGGTGTGGGACTGGATACGGACGGGGGTTGAGGAGAAGGATCTTTTCAAGGTCACCCAGGGGAGGGAGCCTGTTGAATATAGGGTGAGGTGTTGGGGGCGGAGAAATGGAAACCTGGGTGTGGTTGTGAGGCAGTTGGGAGGGAGCCGGTTGAGTGTTGGGAGTGGTGTTGGGGACGGAGGGTGTGGAGTACTGGGTGTGGTCCTGAGGCGTGGGGAGTTGAGTAGAAGGGTGTGATCATGTTCTCTTGGGGAGGGATCCTCCTGAGTATTGGGTGTGGCGTGTTATAGGAGACGGAGGCCGTGGGGTACTTGGTGTGGCGGTAGACGCGGAGGGGGTTAGTTGAGTAGAAAGAGCTTTTTGAAATTCACCTCGTGGAGGGAGGCTGCTGTGTTTTGGCTGTGTTGGAGCCGAGGGCTATGGAGTCCTGGGTGTGGTGGTGGGGACGGGCCGAGTTGATTAGAAGGACCTGTTCAAGTTCATCGTGGGGAGGAAGCCTGCTGAGTTCCACTGGCCCTCTAGGGCGTGAGTGGTCTAGTGCGCTTCCACTTCCAACCCGCCTTCTTCCTCCTCGGGGAGAGGTGTCCCCCTTCCCATCCCATCCCCCTCTCGCGGGGGGGGGGGGGGGCGAGGTGTCATAGGTTTTTGTTCCCAACCATCCTGTGGTGTTGGGTCCTCGTTTTGAAGAGACAGCGCCCCGCGTCTCCTCTCCCCCTCCTCCTCTCCCCCCTCCTCCCTCCTCCCATCGCCGTCATCATACTCATCGTCATCATCATCATCATCATCATCATCATCATCATCATCATCATCATCATCATCATCATCATCATCATCATCATCTTCATCATCATCATCATCTCGTCATCATCACCACCAGCATCATCATCGTCATCATCATCGCCATCGCCATTAGTTCCCAACCATCCTGTCATCATCACCACCAGCATCATCATCGTCATCACCACCAGCATCATCATCATCATCATCATCATCATCATCGTCATCATCATCATCATCATCATCATCATCATCATCATCATCATCATCATCATCATCATCATCATCATCATCATCATCATCATCATCATCATCATCATCATCATCATCATCATCATCATCATCATCATCATCATCATCATCATCATCATCATCATCATCATCATCATCATCAGCCATCGCCATTAGTTCCCATTTCCGCACACCCCTCACACGTTTCGTGGCCCCATAGGGAGCTCCACCGAAGGCCCCAGTGGCAGGGTTCGCATGCCGCCCCCACCCCACTTTGGCACACCCCTCACACGTTTCGTGGCCCCATAGGTAGCTCCACCGAAGGCCCCAGTGGCAGGGTTCGCATGCCGCCCCCACCCCACTTTGGCACACCCCTCACACGTTTCGTGGCCCCATAGGTAGCTCCACCGAAGGCCCCAGTGGCAGGGTTCGCATGCCGCCCCCACCTCACTTTGGCACACCCCTCACACGTTTCGTGGCCCCACAGGGAGCTCCACCGACGGCCCCAGTGGCAGGGTTCGCATGCCGCCCCCACCCCACTTTGGCACACCCCTCACGCATTTCGTGGCCCCATAGGTAGCTCCACCGAAGGCCCCAGTGGCAGGGTTCGCATGCCGCCCCCACCTCACTTTGGCACACCCCTCACGCGTTTCGTGGCCCCATAGGTAGCTCCACCGAAGGCCCCAGTGGCAGGGTTCGCATGCCGCCCCCGCCCCACTTTGGCACACCCCTCACACGTTTCGTGGCCTCATAGGGAGCTCCACCGAAGGCCCCAGTGGCAGGGTTCGCATGCCGCCCCCATCTCACTTTGGCACACCCCTCACACGTTTCGTGGCCCCATAGGGAGCTCCACCGACGGCCCCAGTGGCAGGGTTCGCATGCCGCCCCCACCCCACTTTGGCACACCCCTCACGCATTTCGTGGCCCCATAGGGTGCTCTACCGAAGGCCCCCGTGGCAGGGTTCGCATGCCGCCCCCACCCACTTTTGCACACCCCTCACACGTTTCGTGGCCCCATTGGGAGTTCCACCGACGGCCCCAGTGGCAGGGTTCGCATGCGTCCGCGCCACCCATGTCGACACACCCTTGACACGTTTCGTGGCCCCATAATGAGCTCCACCGAAGGCCCCAGTGGCAGAGTTGGCATGCCGCCCCTCGCCCATTTCGGCCCACCCCTCACACGTTTCGTGGCCCCATAGGGAGCTCCACCGAAGGGGCCCCAGTGGTTGCGTTCGCATGCGTCCCCACCACCCATTTCGGCACACCCCTCATACGTTTCGTGGCCCCATAGGGAGCTCCACCGAAGGCCCCAGTGGCTCCCCACCACCCATTTCGGCACACCCCTCACACGTTTCGTGGCCCCATAGGGAGCTCCACCGAAGGCCCCAGTGGCTGCGTTCGCATGCCTCCCCACCACCCATTTCGGCACACCCCTCACACGTTTCGTGGCCCCATAGGGAGCTCCACCGAAGGCCCCAGTGGCAGGGTCCGCATGCCTCCCCACCACCCATTTCGGCACACCCTTCACACGTTTCGTGGCCCCATAGGGAGCTCCACCGAAGGCCCCAGTGGCGCGGTGCCTATGAGAAGAGGGGCCTAGTTTGCGTGCCCCCTCCTTCGTCTCATATCCGTGCGGTACTCGCAGCTGCATATGGTTGGGTCATTCGCCAGGCTAATTTTGCCTCGGCGAGAAGGCCACAATCATTTTGGTACTACGGCCCATCCTCCAATCGATCTCTTCCAAGACGGCCCCAAGTGGTGCCCAAGAGGCTGCAAGATGCCCCCAAGATGCCCCAAGGAGGCTCCCAGGAGACTCCCAAGACGCAAGAAGAGGCCCAGCGAGAAGGCCTAAATTTGCTGTTGCAAAGGTTTGGGCACAGTCTGGCCTCGGCGAGAAGGCCACAATCATTTATGTTTCCAACAGTGTTTGGCCACAGTGTGGCCTCCTAGCGGGGGGGGCCTAGTGTACTACGGCCCCTCCTTTGATCGACCTCCTCAAAGATGACCTCAAGATGGCCCCGAAGGGTGCAACAAGACGGCCCCGAGAGGTGCCCCAGCGGCCCCAAGGTGGGTGGCCCCAAGAGGCCCCAAAGAGAACTCCCATGAGGCCCCAAGAGGCCTCCCAGGGGCACCCAAAACGTCCCAAGAGACCTCGGCGAGAAGACCACAATCATTTATGCTTCCAAGAGGGTCTGGCCAAAGTGTGGCCTCATGGCGGGGGGGCCCTAATGTACGACGTCCCTCTTTTGATCGACCTCCTCCAACATGGCCCCGAAGGGTGCAACAAGACGGCCCCGAGAGGTGCCCAGGATGCCCCAAGATGTCCAAAAAATGACCCCAAGAGGCCCCGCAGAGGGCCAAACGAGCCTCCCCAAAGACACCCAAGAGGCTCCCCAAATGCACCCCATGTGCTCCTAGAGGCCCCCTGGACTGCGAAAAGACTCCCAAGATATCCGCCGATTCGGTGTGTGAGTTTCTGAGAGCGTGGGCTTGAGCTCGCTCAAGCTTCGCTCTGGAGGGGGGGGTCGGGGGGGGACGCAAACGACGAAAACCGACTAAAGAATTGACACGCGAGGGGGGGGAAAGGAGAGAGGGGGGGGGGTCTCGCTCAAGCTTCGCTCTGCAAGAGGGGGCGCCAACGACGAAAGAATTGACACGCGAGAGGGGGGGGGGACCGGAGAGACGGAGGGGCGGGGGGCAGGAGAGAGGGAGCGGGGGGCAGGAGAGGGGGGGGGGGGACAGGAGAGAGGGGGGGGGGAAAAAGAGAGAGAGGAGGAGGGGGGGGGGGGAGACAGGAGAGAGGAGGGGGGGGGACAGGAGAGAGAGGGCGGGGGGGGAGGGGGGAAGGAGAGAGGGGGGGGGACAGGAGAGGAGGCGGGGGGACAAGAGAGAGGGGGGAGGGGGGAAAGGAGAGAGGGGGGGGGGGACAGGAGAGAGGGGGCGGGGAGGAGGGGGAAAGGAGAGAGGGGGCGGGACAGGAGAGAGGAGGGGGGGGGTCAAGAGAGAGGGAGGTAGGGGGGGGAAAAAAAAGAGAGAGGGGGGGGGGACAAGAGAGACGGGGCGGGGGGACAGGAGAGAGGGGGGGAGGGTGGGGGGGGACAGGAGAGAGGGGGGGGGGAGAAGGAGTGAGATTTCGTGTTCCCTCTTGGCTAAGATCAAGTGCAGTATCTGTTGTATGATTAGTAGTATGCATGCAGGCTTTGTGTAAGAGGATATTCGACCGTGATCGCATGAATGCTCAAGGATGCGGGTTCGCTAGCTACAAACATTTCAGTTTGGTAGCGGAGCTTCGGCTCCCTACCCTCACGCGCGGCCCTCCCGCGCGCGCCGGCGCCCCAGGCGCCGCCATCGAGGAGCACGTTCCTCGGCCTCGCGCTCGACCTGCGCGACTCCGTGTACTATTACGACGGGTTCATCACTGACGAGGTGACCCTCTCGACCTCCTCAGCGCGGAGATCAGCATCTTCTAGGCTGGGAGGCTAATATCTTACCGGGCCCACAGGGCCGACAAGTATTGCGAGCATCTTTGAGCAGATATATATATATAGATCGAGTTTCTTGCAGGAAGTATGGGAGATTATAAGACACCAGCATCACTGCAGGAGTTCACCAGGTTCGTGCCGCCAGGATGGAAGCCGTTTGATGATGCGTATCCATTCAAGGCCTACATGCAGAGACTTCACTTATGGTGGCGGCTGACCCCACTGGACGAACGTGAGGCTGGTCCATCCATGGCGGCAAGGTTGCTGGATCGAGCATTTACAGTTGCGATGAACTTGGAGATCACGCGAGATGGAGTGAAGCACACTGGTGACGCAGCCCTCTCGCTTCCTCGACAGTCAGAGGAGCGAGACGCCAACGGAAACATCACGCAGCAGGCCGACATCAGTGGAGCTGGTCACCTAATGCAGAAGTTGACAGAGGCGTTCGAGATTCATGACCAGGACAAGCAGGGTGAGTACCTCGACAAGTTCCTGGACACAAGGCGGGGCAATCAGACATTGCAAGAGTTTCTATTGAGTTTCCGTGAGAGATATACCGAGGCGAATGACAAGGCGGACTTGACCATCAGCAACGTCGGACTGACACACATGCTGTTCAAATGGTGTGGTTTGCCGGCCAGGCGTATCGCAGACATCAAACTCCACATCAACGGAGATTTGGAGCAGTTTCAGACAGTGTATGCGATGCTGACGAGGATTGCCAAGCAAGAGATGGCGACAGGCAGTGGACACGCACATCACTACATGGACGATGACCAAGTCTCAGACCATGTCGTGGACTACTACCAGGACTATGACGACGATGGAGCAGAGTTGATAGACTGGACACATGACGAGGAGAGTGGCCTACACTATCGCGAGTACTGGACGGAGACTGGTGAGGCGACCTACGGAGCTTACGACGACAACGGCATCTGGTACGAGGCCAACGACATCGAGGCGTGGCTTGACGAACAGGAACTGGATCAGGCGTACCAGATGAACGGTTTCAGGAGACGTTTCCGCTTCGGCGGCTTTCGACGGAAAGGTAAAGGCAAGAGTGGCAAGGGCAAAGGCGGACGTGGTCGCGGCAAATCTCGCGGTCGTGGTTTCGGACATGGAAAGGGACGTTGGTATAAGAGTAACCATTACGAGGAGCCGACTGACCAGAGCATGTGGGGCGACAGGAAAGGTGGCAAGAAGTACGGCAAGCACAACACTCAGGACAGCAACAAAGGTAGCGGATGTAGCACTTGCGGCTCGAAGTGGCACAAGAGCACAGACTGTCCGGCCAATCGTCACCAGCCTGGACAAACCCATCAACAATCTGGTCAAGGGTTCTCGACGGTCTCCTTTCATGCTGGAACATCAGGCGACGACCCGAGGATTAACCTGGCCGCGTACGACGACCTGCCCTTACGACAGTCAGCACCATCGGTCTCATCGCACAGCACTGGTTCCTGGGACTTGCCAACATCGCCATCTCCATACGCGCCAGAATCACCAGTGGACGCCTCCGTGTATCACGATTGCCCTGAATACAAGCTGGACCAGGACGACGATGCAGATGACTATGAGTATTCAGGAACGTCTTACGGCGAGCGGGCTGCAGATCGTGATGTGATGGACGGAGTCTATGATGACGAGGAAGCTGAGGAGCACTATGGATACTTCTACAGCCGACCCCGCCAGGGTCAAAAAGGCAAGAAGGGAAAAGGTAAGCAGAGAACGGAGCATCAGCCAAAGACATCTCTCTTGGAGACTATCTCCGAGACGCCTTCTCGCCAAGATCGACCGGCTGCTACAGATATATTTGGTACTTCAGCTCATGCTCCGACACAGACAGCACGATCAGCCAGGACATCATCGACATCAGCGACGCGAGTATTCGACCTGCCTCAGCGTGAAAGCATATCGGCCGACACAGAGAGATTAGAAGCAGAAGCTGGCCAACCGACATCACCTCGACCTACGACAAGCACCTCGAGCACGTCTCAGATGACTGGGTCCCCTACCAAGGGCTCGTTCGCAGATATCATGCACACGTCATTCCTCAGCAATCACATCTTTCACGAGGAGGATGACCCGACGAACGACGGCTCGGTGGCATATCATTCAGTACGAGGAGACAAGAGACTTGGCATCATCATTGACCCAGGAGCTGCAAAAGGTCTTGGAGGCACCGAGACGCTGCGTGAAGTATGTCAGGCACTTCTCTGGCCACGAGGCCAGAGGTTGGAGGTGAAGTCTTCTTCGGCCAAGTTGTCAGGCATCGATGGAGTTCCGAATCCATCACTGGGTCTGGGCAAGTTGCCGTTGTATCTGGACGCGCTGCCCAACTCGAGCTTCACGATGGACATGCTCGGTGGCAGCGGCAGTCGATGCCCCCTTTTGATGCCTTTGGAGACGATGATCAATAACACCATGGGTCTTCTCACCGGCATCCTGCCGAATCGAGACGGAGTCCTCATCATCAACACATTGGACGGTCTCGGGAACAAGGTAAGACCGACCTGCTACATGAGGGCTCTCTACACGGACTCCGGCCACTACTTGTTTCCGATCGACGATCCGCAGGCCGGTACTGGCCGTGAGCGAGATCGACTCAAACAGGCGGTGAAGGCTTACATGGCGAAGGTTTTGGATGAGGACATACCCAAGAGCACCACGACGGTTTTGGATACGGTACTTATGACAAGCACAGACAGAGATGACAAGCAGATCGAGGCACATCAGTCACTGGACACCGGCATCTATGTACCTGACTCGCATCGAGGCATGCACAGCGGGAAGAAGGAGACGCTTGCCTTGTCCAATGCTTTGGACGCCGGCAGCTATGTACCTGACTCGCAGAAAGGTGGCATGCCCAGCGGGAAGAAGGAGACGATTGCCACGTCCAGGACTGAAGCAACGGAGTTGGATGCAATCAAGTACGAAGAAGCACAGACCTCAGAGAGTAGAATGAGAGTGAGATCGGAGGTCTACAATGCCATCAGCACCAACATCAACACGATCTACTTGGACAGCAAGGACTACTACAGAAGGTGGCGAACCTTCAAAGCATCGAGATGGACTGGTGTCAACATATGGCCCAAGAAGATGGACACCAACAGAGCCAAGCAACTCGACTTAGGCTATCGGGCCATGCCGGAGGAGTTCTACTTCGAGAGCCAATTACCTGTTGTGACACCCGAGAACCTGGAGAGCTGGATGGAGCACATGAGCATCCACCATGTGGACGTGCAGGAGCGCATGTCCGGCAGCAGCAGGTTCTCTCGACGAGCATCACTGCAGGGTCTCATGGTTGGCTTTCCTGTGGACTATCGATACGGCTGGGACATGTCTGACAGACACCACCAGAGGCTGCTGAGCACCTTTCGCGGCAAGTGCCACATCGGCACAACCTTGTGGGCACCTACCTGTCAGCCATGGTCTATCGCCAGCAGGCACAAAGATCCGGCTTCTCTGGAAAGCGAGAGAAGATCACAGGCACCAGCTATCATCTTCATGCTGAATGACATTAAACAGACAGCGGACACCGAGCAGCAGCATATCGTTGAGAATCCACACAACAGCGATTTCTGGAGCAAGTCTGACTACACAGGCGTGGTCGACATGAACATCATGAGGAGCTACGCAGCAGACCAGTGCTCATTCGGCGCGACCAACGAGCTCGGTGAACCAACTCGGAAACGGACACGACTGGATTCTACATTTTCCTTGAGAGCGAGCACACGACATTGCAGATGCAAGATACCTCATGGACACTTGACTGGTGCAGTCGACGGCATCAAGCGCACAGCCAAGGCGGCAATCTATCCAAAGAATTTCTGCGACGCTATCGTGAAGGACATCATCAGGATCGTGAGGCACCAGATTCACTGGGGGTGCGAGAGGTGCCGGCTCGGTAACAAGACGGACTCGGATCATACTCGCAAGCCGGGCAACTGCAGGATGGCACCACGCAAGGCTGCTTCTCGAGCACCTAAGGCACCACAGCACACAGATGATGAAGATCATGAGGCACCAGCAGCACCAAAGGCAGAAGTGGATGAGGCTCCTGAGATCGCACCCGATGACGACGCAATGAAGCAGGAGTCCAAGGAGCACGACGAAGTGAAATATGAGCCTGAAGAGCTGGACGAAGTAAAGCTGGAGCCCCAAGAGCATGACGAAGACGAGCCAGCTATTCATCCTCTTGACGAAGCACCACCAGGAGAAGAACCTCAGCCTGTACCAGGAGCTCCAGGTGTTGAGGTACCTCCTCCTCCTCATCCTGATTCCTCTCAGGAGAGACCGGCCAGGAGGCGGATCACGAGCAAGCAGAGGGTGGAGGAGCCAGAGATTGCTATGAAGAAGTGGTACGACGTCAAGCCCAACTTCGATCTCAGCAAGATGGTCTCTCGTCTGAAGGAGGCTACCGACAAGAAGGAGATCTTACGGTTGCTGCTGGGTTTTCACATCAGGTTTTGGCACGCTCCCGTGCCGGACATGATCATATTCCTCAAGAGTGCAGAATGCTGGAACAAGACGCTGGCCGCAGTCATCACAATGGTCTGTCTGGCCTGTTCTGTGTGCAGGGACTTGGCCAGACCTCTTACAAAACCACGAGCTGGAATCACAATACCATTACGTTTCAACCACAGAGTTCAGCTAGACTTGTTCTTCATGTGGGACAAGGTGTGGCTTCTGGTCATAGACGAACTGTCCAGATACAAAGTGGCGGACATCGTCGCAGATCGCACGCCCAAGGAGCTACTAACTACCTTGATGAGGTCATGGATCAGATATTTCGGGCCCATGCAGATCATGGTTCTGGACCAGGAAGGCGGCCTCGTCTCAGAGCTGTCTTCCCGAACGTGCGACAAGCTGAACATCAAGCGACGATATGCCGGCACTGACGACCACACGATGACCGGTCTGGTGGAACGTTGGATTCAGCTGGTTCGACTCTGTGCCATGAAGCTCAAGCGCACATGCACCACGCAGGGTTTCGAGGTCTCGGACACGGACTTAGTTCAGGAGGCGGCCATGGTTTCCAACAGCATGGTCAGCTACGGAGGTCAGACGGCGACGCAAGTGGTCTTGGGCTTCACACCCAATGACTACTACGACCTCGAGGCCACCACGTTGGACTCCGTGCAGAGCGCCGACGTGAGCTGCCCCGATCCGTTCGAGGCAGCTGTCAGGCTTCGTCTCCTTGCGAAGGCAGAGATGGCACGAGCGATCGTTGAGGACAGAGTTGCACGAGCTAACAGGACACGAGTTCAACAACACGGACCCGAACAAGAGCTGAAGGTCGGAGAGTCCGTTGACATCTACAGAGTACCAGATCGCAAGGATCAGCCAGGCTGGCGTGGCCCGGCTGAGCTCGTCAAGATCTCGGAGGGCACGGCAATAGTTGTCTGGAATGGAGTACCTTACATTCTGCCGGTGCGGTACCTCAGGAGGCATTTGGTCGGCTTCCTAACGTATCAGGCAACCAACATCTCCGAGCTCAAGACAGACGACCAGCAGATGCTCAACACCTTGGGCAAATTGATGGACATCGTGGACGGCAACATCTATGGACAAGTGACACGGCTTGGCAGGACAATCACTCAGGATGGCCAAGTCAAGTGCTCACCTGATGCCAAGACATTGGTAAATCTTCAGCCCTGGAAGTTGAGCATGATGACGTACAGAACGATTTTCCACCTCAAGAGCCTGGACGGCATATTGTACGGCACGTCGCTACGCAGGATACCACCACTGCATGCAGTTCGGTTCGGCCTACTTGTCTTGTGGGAACGAAAGGATCGCACCAATTACATGACCTACGAGATCGACCCGAGCATGGGCGTGACAGTTGGCAGTCTGGCAAGTTTCAAGTGGGAGAATACCTCGTTCATGATGTACTATTCAATACCATCACAATCGGACCCCTTCTTGGACGAGCACCACTTGCCAGACATGAATGACCTTTCTCGCATTGAGCCAGTACCCGAATCGACGATCGACGTGAACCGTGACGTTCATGACATGATAAGCCTACTTCCCGACTTGGACGACTGGATGGATCAGGACGCCATAGCCGACACACAGCCAACGGAGAAGAGTCAGCTTGATCAGGCCACAGTCGACAGTCCTGGAGCAACACGGCTATCTACACCACAACGAGAGACACAACCTCATCAGAGTGAGGGTGTCATTGTTGCTCCACCTACGGAACCAGTTGTGCAGCCCTGGCGACCTGCACACTCTTGAGGCACAATATCGACACCGGCATCTACAGCATCACAGATGAGACCGACACAGATGACCTCGGCACCGTCAGCTGCTCATCCTCTTCCTCCAGTTGGAGATCCAGATGTGAGCATGGACCTATCACGGGACCTTAGCAGGATTATGGAGGAGACAGAACAGATGGACATCTCTCGAGAGCTGAGCAAAGTGATTGACCAGAACCCGATTGGGACTACGACGACTCCAACACCAGGCACATCACCGACAATCCTGAGGCCAGGGTCCACTGACACTGCGGCAGCACCTCCTCCAGCTTCCGCTGATGTGCAGATGGTTCCATATGTACCTATTGCGACATCGACATCAGGTCAATCACCTGCATCAGACACACCACGACGTGTACGACTGGACGATCGTGAGGAACGTATGAGCCCCACCGGCTCGCCCACGACAGTGGCACCTGGTACATCGCCAACGACAGAGCAGATATCACCTGCTGTGTTGGAACCTGGACAGGCTCAAGATCACGATCTCGCGAAGGAATTGAGTGACCTCATTCAGGCAGACATGGACGATGAAAACAGTAGGCTCGTGCCGCAGACAGAGACCGCGGCAGACGCACAAGACCTGGAGAGGACGACCCACGATAAGCGATATCATGACGACATGGAGCAAGCCAGCACGATGAGTTTGCAGCAGAGACATCCTCGGCGGCGGACAGAAGATCACGATGACAGCTCACCTGCACCAGGAGATAGACCTCATCTCGATCAAGCTGATCAACCGGTACAGGTGGAAGCTACGCAACCTCAGGAGCTGGACCTCACCGGAGAAATGGAGAACATCCTGGATCAGACAGCAGCAGATGGTCATGACACTGGTGCTGTACCACTCATGGACGGAGAACGGGATCTTCTCGCTCGCCACAACACGATGAACAGCGTCATTAATTGGCAGACTGGCGAAGCAGAGATGGTCAACCAGCTGAAGGAGTCCTACGTTGACGACTCCCTCTCGCACATCCTCGAGAGCCACAGTGAGGCACAGTCATTCCTCTCCAGCATCCAGATGAACGACCTGCCATGGAATTCCAAGGAGGCTTTGTGGACTATTCGAGGACCATGGCGCCAGGATACATGTTTCCTATTCTGCTTGCGCACTGGTGAGGTGCAGTCCCATGTCGGCGTGAAAGAGTCCGACAACCTGAACGAGGAGGATGTTCTGACCCACTGGCAGTTAGTAGAAGAGGCCGACTTGAAGGAGTTGCAGGCCTTTGTTGATCACAAGGTCTTCGCATGCAAAGCACGGCGCACGATGGGCAGTAGCAACACCATCGACGCGACATGGGTCAGAAAGTGGAAGTATGATGCGAAGCGCAAGGAGTGGATCATCAAGAGCCGGTTGTGCGGACGAGGTTTCCTCGACAAGCAGAAGCACGAGATCCAGCGCCACTCGAGCACCGCCAGCAGGTTGAGTCAGAAGCTGATTGTCTCGACCGCGCAGGTGCACGAGGGTTTCGAGCTCGAGAGCTGGGACATCAGCACGGCCTTCTTGCAAGGGCTGAGCTTCGACGAGATCAGACGTCGTTCGAAGGAGCTCAAGATCAACTGCGAGACGGTGCGCAAGGTGTTCCTGGCACCTCCGGCCAACGTCTGGCGACTGCTGGACAAGCTACCGAACAGCGGCATCCACGTGAAGGAGTGGGACATCGACCTATTCGTTCTGGAGCTGCTGAAGCCGATGTACGGCCTGGTCGACGCGCCACACTTGTGGCAAGTAGCGCTTACACTCTTCTTGGTGGATGTGCTTCATGCGAGGGTAAGTCTTTGGGACGAGAACTTCGTCTACTGGACCTATCGAGATCTACCGGCTGAAGTTCGTGACAGAGCTCAAGAGACACGCTCCATTGATGATATTGCAGCGGCACTGTCCATTCATGTTGACGATCTCCTGTCAACTGGACGCTCTCAACACTTGGAGTATCTGAGGAAGTTGCTGGAAGGCAAGTTCGGAGCGGTGAAGAGACAGCAGCTGCCATTCACACACAATGGGGCACAATATGCGAGACTGAAGGACGGCACGATATTGCTTCAACAAGTTGATCACCTCAGCAAGATACCCTTCTGTCAAGTGCCTGATGGAGCTGATGACAAAATGGTGACGGGAGTGTATGCTCATGGGTTCCGGAGTATACTTACATCGATGCTGTTCCTGTGTCAGTGCAACCTTCACATCATGACGGAGGTGACTCAGCTGCAAGGTTTCAACAACGAGCCCAGGATCACACACCTCAAGAGGGCCAATGCACTACTCAAGCGAGCTCAAGGAGATACGACATTGGTGGGCTTGCACTATCCCATGCTGAGTCCTCCGTTTTGTCTTCGAGCGGTTGGTGATGCGAACCACACTACTAAGTCTTCGGTGTACCCTCAAGAAGGACAGTTCGTGCTGCTGATGGAAGACAAGGAGTTGAAGGTTGATGAGGCTCACCTGCTGATGGACGCATCAGCTCTGACTGGCAGGTGTCACGTACTCATCGCAATAAGTAGCAAGGCAAAGAAGGTTGCGCACTCGACCTCGATGGGCGAGACTAATTGTGGATTGGCCGTGGTATCAGGAGCTCAGATGGTTGCCATGCGACTCTCGGAGATGCACCTGGCTCTGAGCTGCACCACGAAGCAGATGATATCCGTCCTCATCGAGATGAACAACACAGGCCAGTACGTAGTTGCGATTGACCACTTGACGGACTGCAAGGACATGTTCGAGCTGGTGACGGGCCTGAAGGGAGTACCTCAGGACCGTCAACAGAGGCTGGCCATCATGGCCCTGAGAGAGGAAAGAATGACAGGACGAGTGCGAAATACATTGCATATTCCAACGGACGTGATGCTGAGTGACGCGTTGACGAAACCTGGAACATTTCCTCAGCTCATGTATCTACTTACAACCGGCATCGCTAAGTTTCATGGAAGCAAGAAACCGATCACCTGCAAGCGTATGTTACATCGACCTGGAGCTTTCTCAGAGTCAGACTTGGAGAGTATCCAGAGGTTCGACTAGATTTGTTGCACGAACATCATTGAGGAGAATATTTTCTGATGTATCACTTTCTATTATTTCTGGATTACTGTACTATTTTATGAGCTTCAGCACCGTGCTGGAGAACATTTCCGACATCAATGTAGCGTGTGGAAGGCGCCGCCCGGGCTGCCTCATCTTTGCACAGTTTTCCTAGAGAGTAGAATGAGAGTGAGATTTCGTGTTCCCTCTTGGCTAAGATCAAGTGCAGTATCTGTTGTATGATTAGTAGTATGCATGCAGGCTTTGTGTAAGAGGATATTCGACCGTGATCGCATGAATGCTCAAGGATGCGGGTTCGCTAGCTACAAACATTTCAGTGAAGGGAAGGGGGGTGGACAAGAGAAAGGGGGGGGGAAACAGGAGAGAGGAGGGGGGGGGAAGGGAAAGGAGAGAGGGGGGGGGACAGGAGAGAGGGGGAGGGGGCAAGTTAGGTGCGCTCGCGTCAGCATCTGACATCCTACCCCTCCCTCCCATCCCTTACCATGGCGCTGATTTTCTCTATCCGCGGACGCGTGTCGTAGCAGACTTGTGGCTCCGCGCGCGTGTGCGTAGTGGGTGGTGGTGCGCGTGCGTGCGTGCGTGTGTGCGTGGTTGTGGTTGTTGTGGTGGTGGTGGTGGTGTGTATGTGTGTGTGTGTGTGCGTGTGTGCGCGTGTGTTGTGGTGTGACGTGGTGTGGCGTCTTGGTGGTTTGGTGGTGGGCCAGGTGCGTACGTGCGTGATGGCGGTTGTGGTGGTGGCGGTGGTGGTGTGTGTGTGTGTGTGTGTGTGTGTGTGCGCGTGTGTGCGTGTATGTGTATGTGTGTGTGTGCGTGTGTGCGTGCGTGCGTGCGTGCGTGCGTGCGTGTCTGTGTGTGCGCGCGTGTGATGTGGTGTGACGCGGTGTAGCGTGGCGGTGGTGGGTGGGGTAGTGCGGTGGTGGTGGCGGTGCGCGGTGGTGATGCGCGTGCGTGCGTGCGTGCGCTGGTGGGTGGAAGTGGCGGTGGGTGTGCGTGCGGCGGGGCGGGGCGTGGTGGTGGCGGGCGGATGGGCGCACGAGAAAGAGGCCCGCGCTGGGGCGAGAACGCCATCCTGAACGACGGAGGCAAAACACCGATCCGAAAATGAGGCCCACGCTGCAGCGGGAGCACGATTCGGAACGATTCGGGAGCAAAAATGAGACCGGCGCCTCAGCGAGAGCAGCATTTCGAAAAAAACGCAAGCGAAAACCCAACTCTGGGGAATCGTGTAAAACAAAAACGCGGGGGGGCAAATACGCAAAACAACGTCATCAGGGGAAGAGGGAGAGTAGTATTATATTGAGTAATTGTAAAAAGGAAAAGGGAAGGGAGGTGGGGAGGGGGGGCCGGGATCATCACCATCTCCATCACCATCGTTACATCACCATCACCAGCACCATCATCATCATCATCATCATCATCAACATCATCATCATCATCATCATCGTCATCATCATCATCATCAACAACATCATCCGGAGCGTCCCGGATCCGCGGCACTGGCCGGAGGCCACTACAATCTCAAGAAGGCTCCACGGAACTCTAAGAAAAAAAAAAGCCGAAGAGACTCCGAGAGGCATCCAAGAGGCTTCTGGCCTTTCTGGTCGCCCTCTTCCTTCGCCTCCGCCTCCGTTTCCTCATCTGTCTATTCATCCTCCTTCCTCCCTCTTCCTCCTCCCTTTCTCCCTCCTCCTCATCCTGCTTCTCCGACTCCTCCTTCATCCCCCCTCTTGGGGTATGACATCTTAGCACAACCTGCTAATTCCACTGCGATCTCCGCCACATCCGTGATCAGCGCAACCCGT